TACCTTAAGTTACAGATAATTTTTCATTTCAATTCTCTTTATTTATATAGTTATACTGTAGATTGGCAAATGATCAAGATGGTTTTATTTTCTCTTTGTTCGCGATTTATCATTTTTCAACGAAATTAAACTCATCGTTAATGTTTCTATTGTTTTTAAAATGTTTAAATGCTTATATGAAACTTTGAATTAATTTCTTGCAGAGTAAAATTAAGACCATCGCAATCAAAACATTCTGAGATACCGTGAAATTTCAACACCGTGGAATTAAAACGATTCACAGTATATCACTATGATATGCATATGAAATTTTTTTCTCCCAGTTGTTTACGCAAGCGGGGTCATATTCTTCATACGATTAATTTTAAAAGAAGACAGTTTTCTTATAAATTAATAACTGACACAACATATCAATATCTTGCTTACGTACAGTAATGGACGAAAAAAGTGCTGAGAATCCCAAATTTTACTGATAATGTTTGATAATTACTGATACAGTGCTGTTCTTGCTGATAATTACTGATATTAACTGTTATTATTACTGTTGTTGCTGATAATTTTAGTTGTTGCTGATAAATACTGATAATTACTGTCGTCTTTACTGTTGAGTCTGATAAATACTGATAAATACTGCTGATGTGCTGTCGTTGCTGAGATCTTTACTGTGGCCACTTTTCTTAAGCTGGGAAGGGGTTAAAATAGTCTAAAAAGTTTTATTTGTTGTAAGAAAATATTGTATCATTGTGAGGTATCAATTCTTTCTAAAACTGTTTAATATCTTTAGCTTAAGAAATAATTATTTGTTAAACAACCAGTACACTATAAATCTTATGCAGTGGGATTTTCAGTTGATAAAATATGCGTCTTTCTTTGATAATAGTAGTAGACATAAAAATGGCGTATGGTTTGTACTGTGCCGATAGCAGCGAGATCAATTTAAACAACTCCTAAAACATGTTATACATGGCCAGTCAGTTTAAAAAAACAAAATAAGACTGGAAGTTTCATTTTTTTTCCATAAATGCCGTCTTGCTTTGGTATACACATGTCAACCACGTGTATTTTTTGAAATTTGGTCATTTGAATCTTATTTACATAGATGATGTGTTGATATATATAGGATCTCACATGATTTGTAGTTGGATATGATTTTTATCCAACGAGTTGTGTGGATTTTATCCCCGAGCCTTGGCGAGGGGATTAAAAACACACAACGAGTTGGATAAAAATCATATCCAACTACAAATCATGTGAGATTCTTTTTATCCCCTGTTTTTTACCCCACACACAATGTTTGACACTGTTTTTATATAGGACTCCATTTCATTTTACTTCATCACTCTAACGCAAAATCCATTGTGACGTCACAACTGTGTGATATGAAAACGATATCACATGAGCTATATCAACGGGATAAAGGGTTAAACATGGGATAATAGGCAATACAAAAGATGAGTGTGAGGTTAATTTAAGAGACACTATTAAGTCCTTAGATAGTCTTGGATTTACTATTCACCCTGATAAAACTCAGTATTATGCAAGCCAGAATGTTGTCTTTCTGGGATTTTTATTAGATTCTGTTACAATGATTACACCAGAAAAAGCTCAATCTATTAAAGAATTTTGTGATATGGTTTTGAGTCAAAATGAAGTGACAATTAAACAGGTTGCACAGCTTGTAGGTATGTTTGTAGCCTCTGAATCAGGCGTGGAATATGCTAGACTTTATTATAAGACCTTAGAAATTGTATCTATTTGTATTTATTAGACTCAACAATTAAGACGACAAAAATTATCAGTATTTATCAACAACAGCTAAAATTAGCAGCAACAACAGTAATAATAACAGCAAATATCAGTAATTATCAGCAAGAACAGCACCGTATCAGTAATTATCAAACATTATCAGTAAAATTTGGGATTCTCAGCACTTTGTTCGTTCAGTAGTGATATTGTCAACATCTCACACATTCTATTGTCGACCGTGTTTCCAAATACACAAAAAGTCACATACTGGCTATAGAATTTTCGAACGATAATATTTTTGCACACTGAATTGTCAGCGGATTTCGTCTTTTATCTGAACATTGTGAGCTCTATGAAGGCGATAGGGAATGCTTACTCCTTTAACAAATATATTAATAGTACGTATCCCTTTGACTATATATAATTTGGTCGTAGACGGATACTTCAAATTACATACATAGCGTGGCTCTCCCATTTTAATTTAATTAGGAAATGCAACGTGACATAGGAAATATATGTTTAGCACTGCAATTGCTATCGTAGGTGCCTTTTATTATTATTATTATTTAAATTTTTAATCCGAGAATCGATTTACTCAGAACCAGAAGAATTTAAAGCTGGACTCAAATATGACATTCAAGTTCAGTTTTTTCCTCTGTAAGTACAATTATATTTGTATGAAAATATTTTTTTTTCTTTTTTTAATTCGGTACACTGAGTATCAATATTTTGTTTTTTCCGACGTTTTGATCGACAATTGATGTCAGTATTTTTTTTATTAAGTTTGCTTTATAAAAGTTTTTATATACTTATCTAGTGAAAATAATGTTTATCATTAATGTATAATAATTAATGAATAATAAACTGTCTTAATTAAAAACTGGTTTCGGATTTATGTTTTGTACTGATAAAACAGTTACAGTATTAGTCGTCAATGATAACCCGATAAGATTTTCCCGATATTTACACCAGACTTGCACCCAAAACAAGGAATAATTTTTTGTAAAATTTCAAACATTCATATAAAGTAGACGTCCATATACCATGCATGGGAGAAAATGGTTTAATAAATAGCAATATTCTAAGATTTAATTGAAATCTGCCATATGAAACCTATGGAGATAACGAACAGTATTCCAGATCAAAAGTCTACAAAATAATACAAAACAGGAGCAGAGTAAAACGGACCTCTAAAACACCACAGGTTGGATCAGGTGCCACAGAGGTAAAATGAATCATCTATCTTTCCAAACAATAAAGCATATAAACTCAGATTTAGAAAAAAAAACTACTTTCAATTTTATTTAAAATGAAATCTGGATTAAGTATCATAGACGCTCACAATATTTTATGGATTTTTTCCCACAGCGTTATTAAAATTAATTATGGAGTGTCAATTTAAGAGATCCTCGTGTTTTCTGAATTGCTGAATGAATGAAATATCTGACCCTGTGTAAAAACAAAGTACATTCACATTCTTTGGAATAGGAAATATTGTTTATATATAATTACGAATTCAATAATATGCACGTTATAGAATTACTAATAACTCTGTTGTATCTTTCAGATTTTATTTTAGCATCAACGATTTCAGCAATGATGCATAGAAATAAAGGGTAAACTTGATTGTGTTGAAATTTCATTATAACATTACAAGAGATATAAAAACAAATATGAATGTAACATTTTTTTTTAGCACATATGCTCACTCAAAGTTTACGTTTTCCTTTATATTATAGTTTATATTGCTATGATGACATCTTGAATTTTGCGCTGAGCAATGAAAGTTGTGAATTTGATATCACGAATATCGATATCATTATGCAAGGTAAATGTTCGATCCTGAAACCAAGTAAATATAGCATATCTCATAACTCAATTAGTAACCATGATTTTTCTTTTTATATACAGGGAAATCATCCCCATGCAGCGAAAAATGCTTGTTGCTCTCAACGGATATGCATATTTATCAAAGCTTTTACTTTAGAGTTACCAGCATTTCTGTGACATTACATATCAAAAGGGATAAATATACATTCCCTCTCGAAGCGCATCATTGTTCTGAAAAAGAAATCAACGAAATGACACTGCATATTGTTTGTGGTTCACTAGTTCGTTCAGGTTGGAAATCTTCACTTTGAAGGATTTACTCTTCTTATCTCATTGAATTTGCTGTTGGAATAAACTCACTGAAAGTCTGATATCAATAATATGACTTTGAATATGAAATGAAAATATGTAAAATGAATTACTATTTCTGGAACGTATAGTAAATTGCAAAAACATATTATTTAAATCAAAATCATACAACCATTTTATTTATAGGTGAATCTTTTATTGCTTGTAACAAAGAGGTTGGATGCCTTGATGACCGAGCAGTGTGCGAGACTCTAACCCATGAAGGACAGGGACGTTGTGTTTGTAAAGATAATAGTATGCTGATTAGAGGTCAAATTTGTGATTGCAAAGAGAGACAAATAAGATACAAGGACACGTGTTTAGATGGTAAAATATTGGGTTTGATATCTGAAGAATGTTTCCAATTGACATTTTCAATATTGTATGCTTTTAATAAACGTAGATAAGTAGCGTAGCTTTTTACAAAATGAAAAATATTTCGAGGGCTGTTCAATAAATAATGTCATCGGTGCTAGGAAAAAACGCTTTTCTATCATGATTTAATTTTAATGAATTTTCTTAAATATTCTCTTTTAATGAAAAGAATTTTCATTCAATTTCGAATTGTTTTAGACGGTATTTTTTAGTATGGCCTTGCCTATACTGGAATATGGAAGATCCTATGATTTCGTGTACTTGTTTTTTTTTTCTTTCTGAAAAGTTTTTTCATCAAGTTTGTGAAATGAATCAAGTTAAGTGTTGAAAGATCTGGCGAATATTATTGCTCTGACAAAACATAAACTATCTGTTTATTCCTAAAACTCCTTTACTCTTCATGATCTGTGGGTTTGGACGCTGTCGTAAAGAAATTTAATACAGTGAATTCCTGATTTTGGTTTCTTCCTTTCATAAACTTTAATGAGAATCCATTTTTTGCAAAAAGTTTGTTTTCCAGATTCCTTCAGAAATAAATATAACATATAAAGGAATCATTACACGGCTCTATTTCTGCAAGTACAGGTATCAATGTTGATACCCCAGAGTCCTTTTTGTGTTTTTGCAGTTATAAAAATCTCTTTTTTCGATACAATGTTACATTTTAATTGTACCAGCTCAGTAAATGACATTTCACTGAAAATACAGACTGTCTCCCAGGTAAAAAAATGTATGATTCATTCATATAAATTGTTTTTGATTTTTCAATAAAATAATGACATTTGTTATAAGGGAGTTTATATATTTTATACTTAGGCAACCTATCTGTTGGCCAGGAATGTTTTCGCTCTTCGCAGTGTACTGATGCAGATCCTGCTGTACGATGTGTTGACGGTCACTGTCTCTGTATGGAGGGATATCAAATGAGGGGACAGAAATGTGTTGAAGGTAAAAAAAAGATTAAAATGGAATTTTTTTACGCAAGTACATTTATTGTAAATTTGACTTACATTAACCAAGTTAAGCTTCCTCTGTGTTATTCATTGTAAAATATTGATAGCAGACAAAACAATTTTGATTTGATTTTCCAATCTCTTTCTTTGTTTTACTATGAATATGATACAGATTTCATATAACTTTACATAATGTTTTTTTTTTGAAAGACACTAATGAAGAAAATACCAAGACACAAACAGGTAAATAAAAAATTGAAATACATTTTATAAATTTTATGGAAATATGAACTAAAACAAGAGGCCCACGAACCTTATAGGTTACCTGGATATCATGTTACAACTTTCAAACAATGGAATTTGGTTTGTGTTTTAAACCAGAGGCCATGAATTCACAATTTTAAAAGAGGCACTGTTGCTAATCATAATTATATACTAAGCATGCTTACTCTAGTTACTTCATACCCAGAGGTAGATCAGAGTAACAAAAAAAATGCATTTACACTTTGTAACGAATTGTCCAAGACCAAACATGAAGCACAAATATCAAAATTGTGGAAATTTTATCATAGATTTTATTTCATCATAAATGATTTATTAATACCAAAGAGCAGATTTCAAAGCATAAATTTATTTACAGAATATGTAACACCCATACCCCACCCACCCCATGATACCCCTGAGCCAGGGGGAATGAAATTAACCATTATGCTAGATGCACCTTTCTTCATCATAAATATATATACTTAGATCATTGGCATAATATCCAGGAGCAAAGAAAATATTTTAAAAAAAAAAACATGCATTTTTACTACATAATCAATAGAGCCCCTCCGTAACACCAGAACACCCGACGCAGGGGCCACGAAATTGACAATTTTGGAAGAGGCATCCTTTCTTATCATAACTATGTTCATAGTTCATTAGTTTAATACCCAGGACCAGTAGAGAAAATTTTCAAACAATCAATGTCTTTTCACGATATAATCAATAGAGCCCCACCCTAACACCAGAAACCCTGACCCTAAGACCTTGAATTTCACAATTTTGGAAGAGGCACTCTTGGTCATCAGAACTATATACTTAATTATTTGATTTATACCCAGGAGCAGAGGAGAAGGTTTTCAAAGATTCAATGTATTTTCATTACATAATAAATAGAGCCCCGTCCTAACACCAGAAGCCCTGACCCAAGGGCCATGAAATTCACAATTTTGGAAGAGGTTCTCGTGGTCATCATAAATATGTACTTAATGATTTTGTTTAATACCCAGGAGCAGAGGAGAATATTTTCAAAGAATAAATGCATTTTCACTATAATTAATAGAGCCCCACCATAACAACTTAACCTCTGACCCTGGGTGCCATAAAATTCACAATTTTGGCAGAGACACAATTACTTATCATAACTATTTAGTTAGTTTGTTTATTTATTACCCAAAAGCGGAGAAGAAGATTTTAAAAGAAGTAATGCATTTTCACTATATGATTAATAGAGCCCCGCCCTAACACTACAACCCCTGACCCAGGGGCCATGAAATTCACAATTTTCAAAGAATCACTCATGGTCATCATAACTTTGTACCTGATTAGTTTGTTTAATTCCAAGGAACAGAGGAGAAGATTTTCAAAGAAATAATGAACTTTTACAATATGATCTATATAGCCCCACCCTAACACCAGAACCCCTGACCCTGGGGTCATCAATTTCACAATTTTGGTAGAAGACTGAATACTGATTACAATCATACCAACAGTTTGAGTACTTGATGTCCATGAGTAAAGAAGAAGATTTTTAAAGATTGCAATAATTTTAGTGGTTTTGACCCACCCCTTTAGCCCCAGGGAAGCAGGAACCATGAAATTCACAATTTTTCTTCCCCTTTTACCAATAGATGCTGTACACCAAATTTGTTTGAAATTGGTTCAATGGTTCCATAGAAGAAGCTTAAATGTTCAAAAGTTTACGAACGACGAACGAAGGAGGAAAACAGATAGCAATAGGTCACCTGAGTTTACTCAGGTGACCTAAATAATTCCCATTATATTTTTTATTAAATAATAATAATAATTATAATAATAATTATAATCAATTATTTTATACTTGAAGATATCTCAATCATCGCTGGAGTTATTGGATATTTTCTTGGCTTAACCTCTACAGTGTGTGCTTCATTAATTTTCAAGAAATGTTGGAAACGATCGATTAAAACGCAAGTGAAGACATTTATTATAATTTAAGTTTATGCTTACCTTATCAAAAAATTCTGAATATACATCTTACAAGAGATGTTTTTAAAATTGCAGTATTGCTTTCCATCTATTAATTAACCTAAAAGTAATGCATTTAACGTAAGTCTTATTTAAATTTTACATTTTTTTCTTACCGAAGAGTTACTGTACTTAATACGTAGTTTCTTAATCATAATTAGCAGGCATCGCAATACGTCTATCCTGCAAAATGGGAGTAATTTAGCACTCCAAAGTGAATTGTACAAGCATCCAGAAAGTGCAGTATTCGTTGGCGAATCGCCGTTTCAGTTACAAGAAATCCGAAAAAGTGGTGGATGCAGGGATGATCCATATTCAAAGATCGAAGAAACAAATAATCATCAAAATGATAACAACTATTTAACGCCTTATAACGAGGTGATCGACTTTGCGAGACAAACAGAGGTTGACCAGGCAGAAGATATGCACACCGTAGCAAAGGCTCTCCCATCAACCCAAAATGAATGCCACCATTGAACTTCTTTATACTTCCACAGTCACGCCATATAACGAGATGCAGCTCTGATAAATCAGTTAACAAATAAAAATCATTTGTATCTCTTCTGAAGAATATTTATGTTCGATTAGACATTGAGACCTACTGGCTTCACATAATTCACAATCAGATTGCTCGGTATTGCAAGTACTCTCTAATAATATATAGTGCAATGATTGTCTTAATTGGATTGTGTAGAATAGAATAAAGATCCGTACATGAAAAATTATACACTAACAAAAGTTTATTTTAAAACATCACTTAAAAAAGGATAAAAGCTATTAAGGAAACTAAAGACATGAGTGTATTTAATTTAATTTTACTCTTTATCGCATTGACTATGACAGTTGTTTTCCTGTCACTTTGATTTTATCTATCATTAATAATTACCTGGTTATATAAAAATTGTGAAGAAATTAATGAAGTCGGTTTCGTCTTGTTACACAATATGGTTTGGATTTTATCACGAAAAGAAACTCTGAATCTCTAGACATTGTTTGATAGGTCTTAAAATCATATTGTTGATGCAATACACTTTCACGCGTCATTTTAGAATATTACTAATGGAGTTTTATGAATAGACTTACTTTAACAATCGATGACTGACTTCTGCAATTTAAACATAGACAAACTCTAATTACAAAAATGTTAAAGTCAGCTGTCGAATTTAAAAGTAAGCCTCTTCATAAAACTCCAATACTACATGTCATAACCCAATTCAATAAGGTTTGGGCGATTGAATATCTATCCTCGGGTACACCTAAATAAAATTGTGTAAAGATGACGTTGTGATAAACTAAAGCTCTTTAGAAATGGATGATAAAAAAATTTATAAAAGAAAAAGTAATAAACATATGAAATTTAGAATATAGGAATCTTAGAATATCTCCTATATTTTTATTATGTTTTCATATAAATCTCTTGTGCCCGTTATATTTTGTAGTACTCTATAGAAACAGGAAAATTCGTTAATTTTGTGTAATTGAGATGCCCCCTCTTGTAACAAGACGGTAGAATTTTGTGTTTCTTACATACAATGTACAATATAGTATTTCTCATCATATTTTATAATTTGAACAAAAAGTATATTGTAGTTTTTGTATAATATGCTAATATGCTTTAAAGTGCTAAAAAGTCTCACTTTCCTTTATAATCCTATAGTAAATGTATCTGTATTTGGAGCCGGTTCCTTAAAAATACCTGGACGGTAGATTTCCTTCAAACTTCGCATGTACGTTGAAGTTAAAGTAAGTTATATATGGTATAAAAATTAACAGTTTATCTATTGTTTTCACACAATAAAACCCAGACGCCCCCCTCCCCCCTTAAACTTTATTTCCACAGTCATGTAATACATTCTTTAAAAACATTATTACCGCCTTCTTTACAGTACAAACTTCCACATACGACCTTTATTTTCCACAGCGTCGAATTATGTTGTTCTTGTTAAAATATTTTTTACTAGAAATTGGACTTTTAAATAATATATAAATAGATATATCACATTAAATGCTAATTTTCAAACAATTTAAGATATATTCATACTCATAGTTTTATGTCAAGTAAAGCAAATTCCTTTTATTTTCAAATAATATAGTTAAAACTAACTTATCTCCAATAAAATATTTCAATATGTAGTAAAAATTGTTGTAAAAATGATGTAAAATCGGATTCAAATACAAAATTCTGTTGCTCAGCTCTAGAAAATTGTTTCGCATTAATGTGCTTGAATTGTGAAAAACAGCAAGAACATTTTACATCACAGCTACAATAAAGAAAATACAGAATGAAGATAAATGTACACGAGAAGAAACTACTACAAACCAACTTTAATTCGCGTGTGAGAAATTTTCGCGAACTTTGCGTGAGCTCCCTCATCGCGAATATTTCTCGCCGCGAACCAGTCCTAAAAGTCTATGTGCCTTTTAACAACAGCTCCAAAATAGGTTTAATCTCGAAAATTAATCGTCGCGAACTAGTTTATCTGCAGTAAATCGCAAAAAAAGTCGTCTCGAATAAAAGTTTGTTTAGAGTATTTCCCTCAATATTTTTGAAAGATAAGATTGAATAATTTTTCAAATAAGGAAAATAAAAAAAATTAATTATAATTGTATATTACACCTAATGAAAGGCACTCTTCGAAAATGAATTTCTTTTGGGTATGGATTTAATTATTTACAAGTTTTGCTAAAACCTATGACATCACAAACGGTGTAAATTCCTAAATATTAAAAATCATACTTTAAGATTTAAGGATTAATCTTAAATTAACACTTACATAATTTACAGTAAATTAAACAAAATTTATATATATTCCAAAGCATTGATAGTTTGTGCATGCTTTATACATGTATAATATGCTCTCTCTCTCTCTCTCTCTCTCTCTCTCTCTCTCTCTCTCTCTCTAAGCATGTTTTCATTGATCGTGTACTTACTATTTAACTATAAAAAAAGATAAAAAAAAGTAACAACTATTCATCGTGGCATTGAAAGCAAATTAAATTCAAAAAAATAATAATGATGAAAATTGAGTCTTTGTATGTATTCCTTGTGATTCCATATAAAATTAGATGTTTCGTTAGAAAATTTTATTGGGAGACAACCGTACACATTTCAAATCATACTGTTTTCTGTTTGAATATCTTTGGAAATAAATTGTCAATTTGTAAAGCAGATAATTTTGTAATTATGATATAGTTTAAAATGTATTGAAAATTCATAAATCCAAGATTATATATTCAATTTTAAATTTTAATTATAGCCGCATTTTTATAGAAAAAAAATTCTGTTATTTCTTAATCTGAATTAACAAATTTATGTTAAATGTCAAGCAGGAAGAATTGGCACTCTCACCCCTTCAATGGCGACAACACAATTTCAAAAACAGATACATGCATCTATATGTTTCCTGTTCTATATTTTTACCGTATATCATGTCCATAATTAATATTTTTAGACAACAAACATACATTCAATAATCAGTACTTCAGTTTGTAATGCTAGAGTTTACAGGAATTTATTGGCTATAATAGATATCATAATTTTAAAACGAAATGAACACGTGGGTATGTTAAGGCTACAACCAAATATTCTACTTGCTAAATGTTAGAAAGCAAATTTCCTTCACAAGTATCGTCATTCCGAACTAAGAGTTGCTTACAGAAATAAGCAAATGGAGCACACGCGTGTTATGTACACAGTTTTTGTAAACATGGCACGAGTTCTGCTATTGTCGATGTTTACAATTCACCGGGTGCGTTCAATCGTAACAGTCTGCTTACCACAGCTGCAAGGACTGACAATATATTGTGTGTTTGTTTTCTTTTCGAACATATCGATAGTTTTAATATTTTTCATTTATACACAACGAGATTGCCACTTTTCCTAAGGATTAAGAATATAGTTAATTTGTGAAAGAGCAAGGATGTGTCAATCAAACCCACCAAAAAATTTGAAATTTTGATATCTTTTATATGAAATAAGATTTTTAATTAATTTTTGTGTGAAATGCTATTAAGATATATAAGACGTATATTAAATTAGCTATACAATGTAGAAGAGCATAAAATTAGTAAAATTAAATAAATCCCTACAATTCTGTTAAGATTACATTTGTAAATCTCCAGACTTCATAAATCCATCTGTATTTTAAACAATATATGAAACTAGATGCTGTCATGAGACAGTAATACCCGCACTAAGGTGTTTGCCTCTATATACACAATCCTACGGGCGGCTTACCAAGGAAAAAGTCAAAATAATTCTATACGAGGGTTGTCCGTAAAGTTCGTGGACAACACTGATAATTACTGACAAACATTGACAAAATATTTAAAACTATTATTTTCATTAAATTCATGTTTTATTTTATAAATATGCAAGTTTTCAACAAAAACAAAGCACAAATAGTTATATTTCTATCAGAAACAAAAAAGACACACACTCATACCCGGAGCACTAAAACAAAAATTCTTGACGTTACCAACATCAAAAGCTAAATACGAGCACTAGTGACTTTTCTCAACATAGTCAGCGTGTAACTCAATACATTTCTTATGACATATTGACCAGTCATAAAAAATATGCACAAAACATTCAAGTTTAATTCTTAAAATAATATTTAACAATGCCTGTCTCATATCCTGCAAGCATCCATTCACTGTCTATGTAAAGACTTTCATTTACGGAAGTACGGCATGATTACGTTAAGAAATTCATATTTTACAGCACTGCAATCTCGGAATAATGGTTTTCCTCCACGCATGTCATCCTGTAAACCGTTCATTCCGTCCGAAAATATTATATGCCACTTAAATACTAGTGAGCGACTTCTTTTACTATGTTTTCCCGATTGTTTACAGAATGAATTGGTCTCTGTAGGTGTCTTTCCGATGTCAACGCAGAATTTTATCACTGTTCACTGCTCCACCTATTCCGAAAACGTCTCTT